TTTATATTGTCAGTGTTTTTACCAATAGTCGAGGTGATGATTCATGGATCTTGATGTAAAAATTCTGGCATTTATAATGGACTGATATTTATGAGTGTGTGGAATTTGGATGCAAATTGACTGAATTTAAGGAGACTGTTGGACCTTGGAGGAGGTAAGCACTCTATTGAGTGTTGTGTTATTGCAGCAGTAGAACATGGTTGTGAACACAATGAATATGTATCTGTGGCTATTAGCATCATATAGATGCAGCTGGTTTGGTTGCATTTCTATTCAGTGGAATCACTCTCTAATAGAGATGTGTTCAGAGTTTCCAGTTCCAGATACTTCTCTGTGGATTTCTCTTTTCGAACTAAATTTCTGACCGTCAATAAGAGAAGAGTCTACTGCCATGCTCGTGAGGCTCTAAACAGCAGTAGTGAAAACATCCCAATGTTAGACAAGGTCAATGTTTAGCAAGCTAGCATAAATGTGGGCATAAATGTTCTTGGAAATCAACAATGACACTTTTCAGTCAGGAACAAAGTAGTGGACAAATTAACTTTTGCTACCATCCCCACAGCCATGCCTGTAAATAATGTCTACAGTAGATTTCAGGTTTTTAGGGAAATTAAATGGTTGCGGTTGAAACCAAACTTTTGGAAATACAGAGCCTTATCTGTGTCTAATGTCAATCGGCATTGTACAGTAAAAAGCAATTCCTGTCACATGCAAAGTGACGTACACTAATTATTCAGCAGTTACACGTCCTGAAATACTGATATCAAATACAAGCTGTTTGACAGGCACGTGGGAATGGTTGATCCCACTTTGATCCACTCCTGCGTTGGCAGGAAACACGGGGCTGATATGGCTTTAACCTCGAGTTAACTTTAAGAGGTTGTAGATGAAGGCCAGCTTAACAGAAAGACAGCGAGACAGACAGAGGAAGAGAGATAAAAAGTTCAAGAGAGCACAAAACCCAATGATAATCAGCAAGCTACACTAAACAAACACTTCCCAATAATTGATTGTTCTGCTTGCATGGCCTTGAAACTCCTGATAAACTGTAGTAACTCTCGCAATGCAGTTGCCACTGCAGTCACATGGTATGTTGTTCGAAATTCTGAGAAAAGCCAAACACTAAGTGCCCATTTGGAAAATGATTTATGCTGTTTCTGATTTCTCTTTTTAGTTGCTGCTGCACAAAGAAAACAAATCTTGCATCTATAGAAATCAATATGTGGAAACTACATAAGTTAGAAGTGTGCAGTGCACAATCTTTAACTTAACCATATATAACCAGTGTCAGGATTTCAATGTGCTACACAAGCCTTTTGTGTTACAGCTGTAAAAGTCAACCAAAAATGGGCACAGACATAAGCATTAAATGGTGCATTATCCTCATTGACAATTTAAATAATGTCTACTCAAACACATGTATAAGATTCAATACTTTATTACCATATCAACAAAGTTGGTTGGAATTTGTCTAAGCAACATCATCAAAACATACACAGGACAAAATACACACTCAAAACACATCCACAAGAATGAAACACATAAATAAATGTGAAACCAGACTTCTTTAGTTCTATATAAGTAGTTAAGGAACTTGTATTCTCTAGGAGTCATTTTGTTTTAGCTTAGAGGTCGCTCTCATGAGCCCTGCTTGTGCCTCTTGTGTTTTTTCCTCTCAACCTGTTGAGGAGTACGTCAGAGTGGCAGGAGAGTGAGCAATGGAGGAAGTACACCTAGAACCAGTCTCCTAACAAATAGCAAAGTCCCCTGTTCTCTCTCTCTCTTCTCTTCTCTCATCCATCAGTGTTTGACTTCTCATATAACATTTGTTATAAGGTAAATACAGTCAATATTCCTCCTAACCCTCAAGATCTGAATGGTCTCCCTCATTTTTTGGCTTTTCCAAGTGACACTATCAGATACATGATAAACGTGAAGGATAAAAGCGGTGAAATCAGTTGCACGAACAAAAATCTCTAACTGAACTGAGTGGGCCTCACTCTGAAGTACACAAGATACATATTTCTGACCTTGAACTTATGGAACTTGTACTGCTCTTCCTCCTTATCTCATCCTGATACTGTTCATTTCAGTAATGTGTACTGTTCTGTGTTACTGCATTAATCCAGCATGATGTTCAGCAGTGGAATGACAAAATAGCAATCAGCTCATGCAAACATTTTTAAAACTCTGTAAACTAAGAAAGTAGTACCCTTTTTGGGAAGGTTCAGGTGTTTATTAGGTTTAATGATTTTTTAAAAATAAAACTAGGATGATCAGTGTATAAAATAGGTGAGTTTAATTTGCATGTAGTTCTAAAGTGTGCAAACATTATTAACTTGTGTGCT